ACAAATTAAATTAAAGAAAAATGAATTAACAAGCCCTGGTTGGCAAATCTGCGTAGGCTTCAGGGGGCTGTCTCTCTCTCTGTCTGTCCTGCCTCTTCCTAGTCCCAGCTCTTCCAATCCTGACTGCACACACCAGCTACTTTCATCATGCCCTTGCTCAAGAATCTACATTTCTTCTTATTATCTGTCATAGAATAATAACTAGAGTTGGAAGAAACATCAGAGACCATCTAGTCTAAATCTTTCATTTTATAGATGAGGAAACTGAAGGCCAAGGAGCTCTAATGACTAACTCCAGGTCACACATGTGTCTGAGGCAGAACTGGAATCCAGGGCTCCTGATTCCCAGTCTAGTATTCCTTCCACTGAATCACAAATCAAGTCCAAACTGAGACCCTCAAGAAATACAGTCCCTCATCTTGGGGAGGGGGAACAATTTAGAACTCAAAATCTTGTAAAAGTAAATGTTGAAAACTAAAAATAAAGAAAAAATAATGTACTCGCTACCTCTAACCTAACAGTCTTAGTCCTACCACTCCTCTTATGAGTCCTCTCTTCCCATTAGGTAGGTCATGGGATCACTGATTTACACCTGGAAGGGAGCTTAGAGGTCACTGAGTCCAATCCCCTTATTTTGTAGATAAGGCACAGAGAGGTTAAGTAACTTACCTGGGGTCATACAGCCAGAAATTGTCAGAGATGAGGCCTGAACCCAAGTGGTTCCCAGTTCGGAGAACAGTACTCTGTCCACTACACCTCCATGCCTCTTCCCTTCTGATCTCCCCTTAAACACATTTACCTCTTGCTTGTTTTTATCTCCATGCTAAGTTAGTTCCTGTTGTTCCCTCTGTTTGGAATGGTTGGTCTCCTTCCACCCATACAAATCCTACCCACCTATTCTGTGACGACCTCTGAACACCGACAGCCCACAATGGCCTCCCCTTCTCTGAAATCCTAGAATACCTAATTATAACAAGAACTAACACTTTAAGGTTTGCAAAGCACTTTACATATGTTATCTCATTTCATCCTCACAACAACTCTATGAGGTACATGCCATTATTATTCCTATTTTACAGATGAAGAAACTGAGGCAGGCACCAGTTAAATGACTTACCCATGGTCACATAGCTAGTAAATGTCTCAGGCAGGATTCAAACACAGGTTTACACTGATTCCAAGTCTAGCCCTCTATCCACTGTGCTACCTGGCTGCCTCTACGGTGCCTATTGTCAGTACCTCCCATGTTAGTCCTCAGTTTCCCCTTCGGTGTTTCACGAAGGCTGAGCTTGCCTCCCCAACCACAAATGTAAGCTTCTTGAGGGGAATCCTGTATTTGTTTTTAAATTCCCAGCACCTATGTACTTCCTACCAGTTCCCAACTTGGAATGCTTTTACTTCTCTCTTCCTATCTTAAAATGCTAATCATAGGGGCAGCTAAGTGGTGCAGTGGATAGAGCACTGGTCCTGAAGTCAGGAAGACCTGAGTTCAAATCCAGCTTCAGACCAAACACTTGACACTTACTAGCTGTATGATCTTGGGCAAGTCACTTAACCCCAATTGCCTTTAAAAAAAAAAAGAACAAAATGCTACTCGAAAAAAGCTTCCTGGGCCACTCCAGCTGGCACAAAAATCTGTCCTCTTCTCTGAATTCCTGTTGCATGTGTTGCCTGTGCCCATAGGATCCCAAAGTGTCAGAATGGAAGGGACTTCAGAGAACACACTCCAACCCCCTCATTTGATAGATTAAAAAGCTGAGAGCCTGAAAGAGGAAGTGATTTGCCCACAGTCACATCGCCAGGAAGTGGCAACGGTCTTCTGACTCCAAACCCAAGGGCTCTTTACATTACATCCTGCATGCCTTTCTCATTTTTGGAGAGAGACAGATAGATATAGATATATAGACAGATAGTTATAGATACATATAGATAGGGACAGATAGAGATAGATAGAGACAGACTGGCAGATATAGATACGGAAATAGGTAGATAATTAGATATATAGACAAATATCTACAGATACATATAGATAGAGACAGACAGACAGATATAGATACAGAAATAGGTAGATAATTAGATATAGATATATAGACAGATACAGATGCATAAATACAGATGCATGTAGCTAGATATAGATAGAAAAATAGGTAGATATAGAAATTAGCTAATTAAACAGTATAGATACATAGATTGATAGATGTAGATAGATACAAATACATAGATATAGAGAAACAGATAGATATAAAGAAATAGGTAGGTATTAGATAGCTACACAGATAAACAGAGATATAGAGACAGACAGGTAGATAGAGACATAGAGATGGGTTGATAGATGATAGATGGATATGCAATATCGATATATGCAACAATATATAGGCATATGGTATATAGAGAGCTGTTTTGGGAGCCAAGAAGATCTAGCAAGTCCTGCCTTTGCCATATACTGACTGTGTGACCCTAGGCAAGTCATTTAACCTCTCAGAACTCTAGGAAACTCCCTAAGACTATAAGTTGCAGAGACAGTGTCAATCTGCACTGGCAGAAAGAGTTCCCTCATCCTGGAGCTCCCTATGTCAATGAAATAATAGGTCCAGTTCCTATCTATCAATTGATCTATTATCTATGTACATAGATTCATATATGTGTATGTATAATATCTTGTTCTCTATGATGAGACTGGGCTCCTTTGGGGCAAGAATCTCTTACACATAGTGCTTAGCCATACTGGACACATTTCTATCTCCCAGCTACTCCAAGCCATTTTACTGGCTGTCCACCTCTCCTCTGCCTCATAGAATCTCTTGCTTCCTCTAAAAACAGCTCAAGCACCACCTTCTCCTGTGAAGCCCCTCCTGACCCCCAGCTGCCAGAGCCCTCCCCATCAAAATTTAGTTTGCATTTATTTTATGTAATTTATATATACTTATGTACATGTTGTCTCTCTCCTCCCCCACCAGAATGAAAACTCCTTGAGGGCAGGGTCTGTTTTACTTTTGTCTTTGCATCCCCAGACTAATACCGTGCCTGGCACATAGAAGGCACTTGATAAATGCTTACTGATTGATTGATAGTGGATAACAGGCACTCGGTACATTCTTTTCTATTATTAAACAACATATTTCTTTAGTATCTTAAGGTCTAAGAACTTTTGTCTCAAACCACTCCTGTGTGAGGAGGTTGTACAAGTATTATTATCCCATATTACAGAGAAGGAAACTTCAAAAGATAAGTGATGCATTCATGGTCACAGGAGGGAAGGGGAAGAATGCGGAAAAAATTCGGTCAAGCCCTTCCCTCCTCCAACAGCCCTGCTATCAATAGATTGTAAACTCCTTGGGGGCAGGGACTGTCTTTTGCCTCTCTTTGTATCCCCTTGGAGGGCCATCTGCATTCCCCTGTTCTGGTCACCCCTCTCTAATCTTTAGTCAGAGCACCAGAGACAGAATTTTCCTCCCCTTAGGCAAATGGGGTTAAGTGACTTGCCCAGGGTCACAGAGCTAGTGTCAAATGTTTGGTCTGAAGCTGCATTTGAACTCAGGTCCTCTTGACTTCAGGGCCAATGCTCTATCCACTGCACTACCTAGCTGCCCCCTCCACTCCTGCCTCTCCAAGGCCACAGAAGCCTCCTCTCTCTGGAAGTTTACTCTTCCTTTGGACTTCACCATATTGGAAGTACACTACCGCCTCTCAACACCTTCCTCTGATTGCTTCCACCCTCCCAGACCCTCCATTGCAAGGGAAGATCCCAAGCCAGCCATATCTCCATTCCTCTACAGGCTCCACTCCTCTCCCTACCTCATGGCTACCTTCTCCCCCCATCCCCACTCCTTTTCTGCTGCCTTTCATGTGCTGTCTTCCCTAATTAGAGTATAAACCCCTTGAAGGCCAGGACTTTCTTTCTGCTCCTATTTGTATTCCCAGTACTTAGTACAGTGCTTGGCCCATGGTAAGCACTTCACAAAAGCTTTGATGACTTAACTTGTTTGCTCTTTCCAATACTTGGTACTCTAATTAAACATGGGCTTTGGACATGAGTGGGTGGCACAACAAGCATCCTTACAGAATGGGGAACAAGAACAGTTAATCTCAGGACCTCATCAGGTCCTAGATGTCTCAAAGGTTGGGGGACACTTAGTTTATTCAGGTCCATGCCACACAATCGAGCCATCACTGGTAAAGCCAAATCAAAATTACAAGTATCTGGATGCCTGGAACATTTCTGGACCTTTGTAAGTCAGCTAGAGGACAAAGGAACTGGAAAGAAGGGCTGCTAGGTGGGTAATTCAGGGAAAAGTCCAGTATCTGCTCTGTCACTGAGTCACACACTTCTCAGCCTCCCCAGCTGATGTGCTTGTCAAGAGGCATAATAAGCCTGACTCCTGCCCTTTCCTCCTTGTCTTTCCCTCTCCCTTCCAGGCCCTGGAGCAAACAGGACCCAGAAGAGTGTTATATCCACCCAAGGCAACAGTGCATGTCCTGGGACTTGCTCGGGCTTCTGGTGGCTTTCCCAAAGAAACCTCAGTTTTCTTTGTTCCTTGCATGGTCACAGGAACAGATTTAGAACTGGAAGTGACCTCAGAGGCCATCAAGTTTAAACTTTTCATTTTACATGATGAGACAACTGAGGCACTCAGAAGTTCAGTAACTTATCCAGGGTCACACAGTAAGTGTCTGAGCTCCTTAAGTTTCAGCTTGGTAAGAGTCCCTGGGAGTCGAAGCCCAGCCTTCCCGAGTTCAGTGGACTATTTACCAGGCCATGATGCTGCCTCTAGCTCACACTTAGTAAACATTTGTGGAATGAGATTGAAGGACTGAGAAAAAGGACCTGGGTTTGAAATCTTCTTCTATTCCTTATTATCTGGGACAACTGGACAAGTCAAGATTTTCTCTAAGCTCTGTTTCTGTTCTAAATCGTACCTTTGGTCCTATGAACCACCATGAATGCACCTGGGTCTTGTGGGACTTTGAACCCTCTCCTCAATAGGTGTTGGGGCAGTGGGAGAAATCAGAGAATGTGAAGGAACATGAACTCAAAGGGTCTTCCAAAGACTTGCCAGGGAGGTCCTAGATGGCCATCGAGAAAAAGAGGTTTGCTGGGCAGAGATCCCTAGACCACCTGAGAGCTAGGCCAGCAGAACAATGGCTTGTTGTAGGCAGGAGGCAGGCAGGAATGTGACCAGGGGAGTTGGGTGGTGGGGCGGCTGCTGTGGCGCGGCGGCTGGGCGGGGCCAGGCAACAGCAACCAGCCCTTCTACCTGTCCAGGTGCCTCCCATTTCCAGAAGGGCTGCGGAGCCGACAGCACCTGCAGCCCGTTGCAGCCTGTGACGGGGTAAGGACCGGGGACGGGGGCATGGCTTCTTAGAATCTTCCCGTCGGGGACAGGCCGGGGCAGAGTTCACCCAAACTAACCGGAGCCTCAGCGCAGAGGAGGAGGGAGTCCTCCGCACCCCAACACAGATAGAAGGCAAGATGAAGAAGAACCAGTCCGTGCAAGGGACCTTCAGCAAACTCTTTGGGAAGAAACATACGACTCCCACGACCACCTCCTTGTATGCCACCAACCCGCCCTGGATCTTCACCCAGGAGGTCCCCGTAGAGGGGAGCAGGAACTTTGGTAAGTCGGTTCTGGAGTTGGGGCCAGAAAGGGGAGAGCTCTGCCAGTGGGTGGGGCCAGGGAATTAAAGGGTCCCTCGAAAGCCCCCGCTGAAGGACTTGGCCCAGTGTCTTCGCTCCCGTTCTCCCTGCAGAGATCTGAGCATGTGCCCAGAGAGCGCGAGTCTGAGGCTCTCGCCATGGGCTCGGTGCACAGTAGGGGAGACGTGAGACTCGAAGAAGAGGGTGGACAGGAAAGGGACGCGTTAGAACCTGTGAATTGGGGAGAGAGAGAAACTGCTGGGGAAGGGGGAGGAGAGCTAGGGGACTGATTACTGGGCTGGGCTCTGAGAAGGAGGTGCTGTTAGAATCCAGAGGGGTGTGTGTGTTTATATCTGAAGCGTGCATGGAGGGGATCCCAAAGGGTCCCAACACAGGACTTCCTTCCTGAGATCCCCACAGTCCTCTTTCTGGACTGTTTTTTCTTCCCCTGTGTTGGTTAAGTAACTTTTTTTTTAGTTCTCACTGTCCGAGGCTTTGTAGCAGGACCCGCCAATGGAACTTCCTAACCTCCCCACCCCCTTTGTCTTTCTGATCTGGAAGCGGTTTTTTTTTTTCTGAATCACTTTCCCTCTCCCAGTCTCAGTTCTCTCACGGGGGGGGGGGGGGGGAGGTTTTTACTAAATGAGCTCTAAAGTTCTAACTCAATCAAGGAGAGTGCCTAAGGACTCTCTTGACTCCCCTGCCTTGCCATTACCCCTCACTTCCAGGCCCTGACCTTGCCACAGGCCCTGCCTAGTGTTGCTACATTTGTCCAGGTTGGTCAGAGGAGCCGCAGGGGAGCCAGCTGTTCCCGGGTCATCAGAGCCATTCTCTCTATTCATGCTGCCCCTCCCACTTTGGCATGTTTGGGTTTTCTATCAGCGGAAAAAGTCAATAGAGGTGGGGGTTGACTGCCCTTGGTGCCAGTACATGTGAAGAAATGACTCACATTTTCACTTATTAATACTGACTTTCCCCCTGCTTCCATCCCTGTCATTAGAGTCATTCTGGGGTCTGGATTTCTCTAGTGGTCTAAAGGGACTCTCTTGGAAAGAAAAGGGCTTGGATCAAGAGAGGAAATTTGTAGGAGCTGGGAAGGTGGGAAAAGTGGTCATAAGATCATAAATTTAGAGCTCGAAGGCCATGTATTCCACCCCTCTCACTCTACACGTGAGGAAACTAAGGCCCAGAAAGTTTTAGTAAATTATCCAAGGTCACCCAGATCCCCTGACCCTTTCTACTTCACGCCCCTGCTGCACTCCCTGCTTAGCAAGGTCAGAAAGGAAGAAGTTAGTGGACAATTCAGCCAAGCCCCAGGGTTGGGGCTGTGTGTCACCTTATCAATCCATCTCACTGCAATTTGCACTTCCTCTAATTTGGGGGAAATGGAGAGTGGAGGGAAAGAAGGTTCAGTTGTGGGCCAGTCACAGATGAGCTTGGGCCCCTGGAGATATAGCAAGGGCAAGCTGTAAGAACCCCACTTGGGGCCCCTGCAGTCACTGGACACTGGCTGGTTCTAGTCTCCTGCTTCAGGGATCCTTTATTTACTACGAGCTATGTCAGTGGCAGCAGGGTTTGCACTAGTGGTGGGCTAGGGGGACTTGAGGAATCTATGATAGTGTAAATAGAGAGAAAAGTTGTGTAGACCTGACCCCTGACATTGAGGTATTTATAAGCACAGCCTCCCCGACCCCTCCCCCACCATGTGAAACACAGAAACAAACTCTGCAAATGCAAAACATACCCCAGATATTTGCAGTTTATGCAGTCAGTGAGCAAAGAGGGCTGGTGAGGAAGGGATGGGGCAGCCATTATGAGGATGAACTCAAAATGAGCATCCCTCATCTGCAAGATGATGGCGTGGGACTGCTTTACCATCTTCCTGATTTTGAGCAAGTCATATGACTTCCCAGAACTCAGTTTCTTCATATGTAGCAGGAGGGGATTCTACCAGATGGCCTCTGAGTTCCCTTGTCCCAGATCTTATGATCTGAAGCTGTGTGTTTGGGGGAGGAGGTAGAGCCCAAGGTCTGCCCTGATACACCCTGTGTGTTCATGTGCCAGGCAGAGCTCACAGGACCTTCTTGGTTCTTAATTCAGAAGGAAGGAAATGGGTATGAAACTTTTTTCTTTCCGTATCCTCATCTAAGCTCTGAGCTCTGAGCTGGGCAAAGCAGAGGGCATAGGTAGGCCGATTGAGATTAGCCAAAGGTAGCAACTGCAGAAGAGGAAGGAGAAGGAAACATTTCTGCCTCAGTCTTCCCTGACACTTAGAACCTAGTGAGGGAAGTGGAACCCTGTAGAAGAGGAAACCCTGGATGCAAGAGGTGGCTAGTATCCTTCTTAGGTTTGGGCAGGTCCAGGAGCTCATCAGGGCAGCTCCCTCTCCCCAGGGCAGGGCCCAGGCACACAGCTGACTCAGCCTGGGCTCATCCCAGCACAAGTAGGGGTGGAAAATAAAGCTTGCATTGGGTAGTCTGTTCTCTAGGGTTTCCTGTGTGCTAACTGAGTTGGAGGTGCTGGGTGCTGGTGGGTGTGGCAGCTGGCCCTCCACCCTGTCAAACAGGAATTGGGGTGGGTGGGTATGTATGGCATGGGGGTTGGGGGAAGGATTGCATATATCAAAGCCCAAGTATGAAAAGAATGAACTGGGAGTCAAGCCCTAGATTCTAATCCTGACTGCTGTTGACTGGCTCTGCGCTTCACTCAATTTTCTCATCTCAAATGGGGCTAATATCTATTCTGACAGTCTTCCAGAATTAGGAGAATCATACATTCTCACAATTGACTTGGAAGTACTTTGAAAAGGACTAGGAATTATACAAATGGGGTTTTATTTCTACCAGTCCTATCTAAAGATTATTTCCAGCATTGTTTGCTCAAGTTTCCTCAGCTCTTTTTTCCTGTCTTGTTAGACATGGGGGGGGGGGAGAACTGATGCTGAGAGAGATGAAGCAACTCTCCCAAGGTCACACAAATAGCTAAAGACTAGACCCTCAACCTTCTGCCTGTGAACCTAGGGTGATGGGGTTTGGCCCATTGGGAGACAGTGGTAATAGAGATGTGGTGGAAAAATCAATTTAGGGCGAAGGTGGTAGGAACTTGGAATGGATTGGGGAAGTCCTCACTCTCTACCCCCACCCTCCCACCCCTGTCCCCTTACCCAAATGCACAAGGAGAATGCAGCTTAGAATGTACGTGTATTTTTGCTGATAGAATTTTAAGAAAAAAATATTAGAATCCTCTCTTATTGGCATGGTTGCCTAACTATCCCTGGTATGCCCATCAGACCCCTTAACTCTAGGTAAGATCTCCTGTCCTAATGAGTCTTGTGGAAGGAACACTGTGTTTGGAGTCAGAAGATTCCAGGTTTGAGTCATGACTCCCTACCCTTTACTAGCAGTGTGACCTTGGGCAAATCCTTCGACACCACTGCACCTCAATTTCCTCATCTGTAAAATGGGGTTGATGTGAATAATACCTTCCCCGTCTACCTCACAGGGTTGTGGTAAGGATAAAACGAGATAATGAATGGGAAAGCACTTCGTGATCATAAAGCACTCTTTAAGCTCTTGTGTTCATAGTTGTGGTTCTTCCTTTTAAGCCAGGCTGCTCCCTTGCTTCCTGAAGCCCGGGAAGGGAAGTTGTGCTCCCCAGAGTCCTCTCCATCCTTCCATCATCACCCTCCTCCTTGCTCAATAGAGCTATACTGTTCGCATGTCAGCTTCCTGGTGGGTGGCCACCCACTCTACCCTGACTTTGAGGCGGAGAAGCAGCCTTGAGTGTCTTTAGAGAGTCCAGAGTATGGTTCTCTGATTCCTGGTTACCTTGTGTCTGGTAGATGGATGCCCAGGACCCAAAGGTGACATGAACATTATAGGCTAATGGTTCTAGGGCTGGAAGGGACCTCAGAGGTCATCAAATCCAACTTCCTTAATTTACAGATGAGAGAACTGAGACCCACCAAAGTGACTTGCCCAAGGTGATACAGCTATAAAGTATCAGAAGAGGGATTTGAGCCCAAGAGCTCTAACTCCAGGGCCAGTGTTCTCTCCTTTATGCCAGACCCAGTCCCGCCCATTGTAGGTTTCCTTAATACCTCTCTAATTGGCTTGTACCCCAGAGCCATTTGGCTGAGTGAAGTAGAGAGAAGGCCACCACCCCAAAATCTCTGCAGTGTATATCTATCATTACTGTTCTTAATGTTCAGATAATATTTTACACATGCTCTCTCATTTTGGTCCCACATCAACCTAGTACAGATATTACTATGATAATAATATTAACAACAACAATAATAATGGCTAGCATTTATATAGTAATTTCAGGTTTATAGAGCACTTTGTATAGGTGATCTCTTCTGATCATCACAATAATCTATGTGGTAGGTGCTATAATTATCCCTATTTTACAGATAAGCACTCTGCAACTGAAAAGTAAAATTACTTTGCCCAGTATCAAACAGGATTTGAATTCAAAGTCTTCTCGACTCTAAATGCAGCACTCCACCCACTGTACCACCTGGCTTCTAGCTTTTGTAGATTAGGAAACAGAGGCTCATGAGACTTTCTGGGGGTTGCACAACCAGCAAATAGCAAGCAGGTTCAGGGATGGAACAAAAGTCTTCTGCTCTTTCTCCTACATCTCATTAGAGTTGGGGTTCTTAACCGCTTTTTTGTGTCATGGATGCCTCTAGCAGTTTCATAAAGCTCATGGACCCCTCAAAATAAAGTTTTTCAATAAATGAAGTACATAGGATTACAAAAGAAACCAATTATATTGAAATACAATTATTAACAATTTTTTTTAAGTTCACAGCCTCCTGTAATAAAGGATTAAAGAAAACCTCAAAGAGTACTTGGTCTAGGGTTCAGTTCTTGTTGGGCCTCTGGAGGTGCATTTTTATAGGTGGAACTGAGCTAATCTCAGCCAAGACCTGGTTGGCACCAGCAGAGAAGGCTGACCTGTGACTTTCTTTCTGGGGGTGTGAAGGAGACTTTTGTTTGTGCTCCTGTTTCCTGGAGGTGTTCTGTGGTTTGCCTGGAGCTTTGCACATACACCCTCAACCTGCCACCCCCTTCCTCCCTCCAACTTCCCCCTCTGCAGTACATGTATTATATAATCCTTTGTTGTGTTTTTGTAGCCAATTTACGTGGTGCTGGCCAAAGAGCCCTAGATTTCAAGTCTTCCAACCTGGGTTCAAATCTTGTTTCAGTATCTTAGCTGTCCGTGTGACCTTGAGCAAACCACTCCTTTGCTTTGGACCTCTCAGTCCATCTTTAAAATAAGAGGGTTGAACTAGATCACAGGGTCTTAACCTGAGGTCCACAGATCCCTGAGGGAAGCTATGGATAGATTCGGGGGGAGGGCAGGGTGAACTTGGAAATTTTATTATTTTAATAACTATTTCAATATCTTTGGTTTTCTTTGGAATCTGATGTATTTTATTGTATGCATCTAAAAATGTGATTCTGAGAAGGGGTGCATAGGCTTCTCCAGACTTCCAAAGGGATCTATTACCCCAACAAGGTTAAGAACTCTCTTGACTAGAAGATCTCTAAGGCCCTTTTCAGTTCTATGGTTCTATATTTTCCGGGAAGGATAGGTTGACTCCCTCCAACCCACTCCCCATATATACACTCCATAGCCCCTCTGTGGTTTCCTCCTTTCCATACTATCTCTTACCCATCTATGATCATCTCTCTTCCCTTCTGGTCACATAAGCCCATGGCCCCCTTCCTAGCCCAACCAATCTTTCCTTTATATTCTCCTGGGACCACCCCCTTAAGACTCCCCATGCCCTCTAAAGCTCCCTCTGTCCTTGGACTAATCCGTCCTCTCTGCTTTTGCGTGAGGCAATCACTGATTACTCAGGAGTCCCTCTGGAAAGGGCTGGGGCTTTTTAACCTCTTGTCCTTCTCACCTGCTAATTACCAAGGAAGGATTTCATTATGGTCAGTTACTGGCTGCATCCTTTCCTTCCCCTTGTCGCCCTCCCCCTGGGAAAGCTGTGGCTACCCCCTGGCTGGCAGGGACTGTGGATTAAAGTAGGACCTGGGATAAGCGGGACTGGGGTCACTGGGATTATTCTGGGTTACAACAACAGAATTAAGCCTCTGTCCCTAACTAACTCCCCAGGATCCGATTAGAGGCTGCCCTCCAGCCTGTAGCTCTGGGGTCATTTGGGCTCAGAAGGTCACTGTCTTTGCCCCCAACTCTTTCTCCACCCCCAACCCCACCGCTACCCTGCCCTGAAGGCGATTCCGCCTTCTCTGAATATTCAGTCAACCAGCATTTATTCCATTCCATTCTGCTGAGAAGTATTAAGCACCTACTACGTCCAAGGCGCTATCCTAGGTGCTTCGAAAATAAATACGAGAAACAACCCTGTCCTGAAAGAGCTTTCATTCTGGGGGTGAGGAGAGAATGAATTAGGTATACAAATAAATATAGGATTAACATGACCCTAGAGTCTATTTGCCCAACAGGATAAGATTTGGTAGGGGGAGGGAGGAGAAAGTAGGAGGTAGGGAAGTTGTGTTTGTTCTTTCAAAAATGAAAAAGGTCAAGGAAGAAGGGAAAACAGGAGGCCAGCTAGGTGGCACAGTAGATAGAGCTCCAGCCTTGGAGTCAGGAGGATCTGAGTTCAAATCTGTCCTCAGACACATGACACTAACTAGCTGTGTGACCCTGGACAAGTCACTTAACCCTAATTGCCTCACCAAAAAGAAAAAAAAGGGGGGGAAACAGGAGCCTGAGAGCCTGGAAATTCTACCTAGGGACCACTTGGTGCCCTCCTTCTGCTTGTTTACCTATCCCACCCCACCCCTACCTCCCTGCTTATTAGAATCCTAGCTGGGGATTTGGTCCCAGGAGCACCTCCAGGAAACCTTCCCTGACTGCCTCAGCCCACACTGATAATTCATCCTCTTAGCTCTCAGTCTTCATTATCTGAGCCACTTGTGGAATCGCCCTTTCCTAGAATGTCAGAGTTGTCAGGGACCTTAGAGATACTCTAGTCCACTCCCTGCTTTTACGGAGGAGGTGAGGCCCAGAGAAGGAAAGCAACATGTCCAAGACCACACAGCAAATTCATGGTAGAGCTGGGAGTAGAACCCAGTTCTCTGGACTGCCACTGTTCAGTTAGTGTTTGTTATATACTACTGTTAGCTAAAACTATTATAACTATTTGTTATAAACAAATATAACTATTTATTATATACTATTGTTAGCTAAAACTATTATAACCATTTGTTATAAACAAATATAACTATTTGTTATATACTATTGTTAGCTAAAATTATTAGGTAGTTTTTAAAGATCCTAAAGAGTTAGGGAATGCTAATAGAATTCAACATCCCACACACTGCCTGACACAGTGCCTTTGCATGTGGTACCTAGTGAATACTAGGTGGATCAGGGCATTTGATCACTCGGAGCCTGGATCTATTGGCCAGCCAGAAATGAAAGATGAAGGCAGGAGGAAAGGGTCATAGAGAAATGCTCTCAGGGCCGGCAGTCACCCTGGCTCCATGGGGCTCCAGCCTCATGACTCATTGCTGGGCTTCCTCCTCCTCCTCTTCTTCCCCCTCTCTCTAACTTTCCAGGAATAGGATTTCTTAAGTGGAGTCTGTAGGAAACTCATAAAGAACCACAAACAGCTGGAGTGCTAATGATGCCGTTCCAGCTCTTGCTTCTTGCTTCTGTCCCTGCCCTTCCCTCCAAGACGGCCTGTCACTTTTCTTCACTGAAGGCTACCTGTGAGATGGAGGTGGTGCCTGAGTCTGGCCAGTCACAGGACTCCCAGACCCAGGGCAGAAGAAGAGACTTACCCCCAGGTGGCAGGGCTGAGGATAGGACTCTGGAGTCCTGGCACCTTTGTCCAATAGACCTTGCTGGTGGTCTGTGTAGCTGCCGAGACAGCCCCCTCTAGAATGCAAGCCCCTTTACTGTAGGGGACTGGGTTTTTGTGTCTCTCCAGCTCTTAGCACAGGACCTGGTACATAGTAAGCACTTAATAAATGCTTCTTGGCTGGGCAGAGGAAATCTGCATTGGTCTGTCATTTACTTCTGCTATTTTGTCTCTGTAGTAGCTGAGGGAGTTTGTTCAGGGGATGGGGGGGGTAGGGATGAGGAGAACTGGGGAAGTGAAAATAGAAAACTCCTAAACTTAGTCCTGAGGGAGCGGAGGGGAAGGGAGGAGGCCGTGATGAGGGATCTTGGCCCTTGACTCAGGCCACAGGTTCTCCTCTGCTGCTTACCCAGCTTAAAAAGGCATGTGGTATAGGCAGCCTGCTCTGATGAGAAAACATTGTTTTATCATTTATTTAACATTATTTTTTTTTGCCTATTTTTAAAATAAATTTATGATATTAAATATGGCTGTGTTTACATATATACAGGTAGAACCAGGTACATGTGAAAGATCGAATAGTCTGTAAAGGTTGCTTCAAGAGAAGATACTGATACTTTTAGATTTTCTATTTCCTGTGAGTCTATCTAGATTGGCCCATAGTAAATGAAACTAGCCAAGTCTTTTATTTACATCCAGTTCATCTACGTGCATGTAGAACCAGCTTATGTCACTTTCCAAATAATATGACTAGGGAACCATGATCATACCAAAGTTGCTCACCCCAAAACTTTGTCATATCAATCAGTAAGTATTTATACCATATCTTTCCTTTATTAGCTATTGTTAATGTCCAAGAATTGTATTATTTGTGGTGCTTATGTCGATCAGGTCACTGTTACAAAATGAATTTCCTGTTATTTCCTCTAATATTGTACTCAAGTATTTTCAATAAAATTGTGCTGCAAAAAAAAAAAAAAGGAATGTGGTGGCTACCCACCTCCTTATAGAGAGGTGAAAGATGCAAAGTTAAATGAATGCAAAAATGAGATTTGGGGGAGGGGAGATATAGCAATTATGTTTGGAGTTTTGGGGTTTTTTTGCTTTTACTATATATGTTTATAGCAAGAGTTTTGGTTTTCTTCCTTTTTCAATTGGGGGGAGTTGGGGATGGGAGAAAGAGAAGATGGATTTTTGCTGATTAAAAAAAAATAATTTTTTTTTAAGGCAATTGGGGTTAAGTGACTTGCCCAGGGTCACACAGCTAGTAAGTGTCAAGTGTTTGGTCTGAGGTCAGATTTGAACTCAGGTCCTCCTGACTTCAAGGCTGGTGCTCTATCCACTGCACCACCTAGATGCCCCCAAAAAATAATTTTTAAAAAAAGGGAATACAGTATAGTCATAAGAGTGCTGAACCAGGAGTCAGAAGACCTGGGTCTGGATCCCAGTTTCAGCATTTATTCTCCATTTTATTTTGGGAAAGTCATTTGTGCTTCAAGTTCATGTGAAAAATAGGATTAATCATAATGGTACTGTCGAGCTCACTGGACTGTTGTAAAGAAAGCACTTTGTAAACTTTAAAAAGCTCTGTAAATATATTAGTGTGGTTACCATTATCATTAATCATGAATTCTACTGGGGCAGCAGTGGGTAGCCTCCTGGTCCTGGAATCAGGAGGACCTGAGTTCAACTATGGCCTCATACTAGTGGTGTGACCTTGAGCAAGTCACTGGTTAAGTGACTCCAAAAAAAAAAATAATAATAATGAATTCTACTCTCACTCAAAGGAGATAACTGACCAAGGCAGCTAGTTGGCATAGGGGATAGAGCTCTGGACCTAGCTAGACTCAGGAAGACCTGAGTTCAAATCCAACTCCAGATAACTAGCTGAGTGACTTTGGGCAAGTCCCTCAACCTCTCTTTGCCTCAGTTGCCTTAACTATAAAATGGGAATAATAACAGCACCTACCTCACAGGATTATTGTAAGGCTCAAATGAGATAATATTTGTAATTCACTTAGCATGCCTGGCATATAGTAGGTGTTTAATAAATTCTCTTCCTTTTCCTTTCCCTTTTCCCAAGGAGCCTGTGGAGATGGGTGTCTCATATCAGTTTCCACACAGTGTCCCACGTAAAGGTCTGGCGTTTTTACCAAAGTCCCTGGGAGAACAATGTTTTGGAGCTCTCTGTGTGATCTGAGCCCTTCAGGATTTGGGAATAGGCCAAACAGCTGTCCCCAAGTCTTCATGTGGCTCCTGCCAGCTAAGCCCCTCGGATTCAGACTCTGACAAGGCTTCTTTACCTTTGATAGGGGGAGGAGTGCTCCCATGTCTGGGTTTTCCATTCACTGCAGATTTCCTCCCTCCTTATTCCCTCTGTGTTATTTGAAGGGCATTCCAGGTTGACATAGTGACTGCTGATGTCAGACCCTCATCCTCCCTCTCCTAACTTAGACTCAAAGGCAGCTTTCAGGGTGAGGAAGGGGAAAAAAGACAGGGGAGAGTTTTATTTGATTTTCTTTTTAAGGTTACTGCTAACTTTCACAGTACCGTACTTTTAAGAGAAATTCAATAAAAATCTACGGCAGGATCTCAGGAGGCCGTGCAAAGGGAGGGAAGGGCAGGACTGGGAATGAGGAGTGGCTAGGAGGGCTTTAGGGCAATCCAATACAAGCATTTCCTCCTCCTCCTCCTCCTCCTTCTTCTCCTCTCCTTCTTCTCCTTTTCCTTCTCTTCTTCGAAATCAGGGTGAAGTGACTTGCCCAGGATCACACAGCTAGTAAGTGTCAATCGTCTCAGGCTAGATTTGAACTCAGGTCCTCCTGACTCCAGGGCCAGTGTTCTATCCACTGTGCCGCCCAACAGCCCCCAATACAAGCATTTCATAAATGTCTACTTTGTGTCAGGCTTAGTGCTAGGGATACAAAGAATAAATGATAAAGTCCCTGCCCTTGTGGAGCTTACATCCTATAGGAAGCTTGTTTTCTATCTGGATTTCTCAGAAGTGAACAGGGCCCAAGGGGATCACCCTTTCCATTCCTCTGCCCCTAGAGAACACAGAGACTTCACTTAACTTGCTTAGTCAGTGATTTGAAGAGTTCTCTTCAAGGAACCTGACTTAAAGTAGGGTCTGGACTGCTCTCCCTGGGCCTGCCTAATGAATGGCATGCAAATGTCTAGAATTGGACATCTGTCCCTGCTCCCCATGAATCCTTGTTTTGCATGCAGCTTGACTGACCTGCTTCTAACCTAGGATGAACCCTCCTGGAAGGAAGGTTTCACTAGGGGTAAGTGAGGAGAATTGGGCAACAGAGATCTCAGCCTTCAGATCCAGGAAATCACTGAATCCATGTTAATTCAGAGTGAGTTCCATAAACATCATTAAGCATCTTCTCTGAACAAGCGGCAGCCAGAGATACCAGGACATAAAAAATAAAATCTAATTTGAGGAGGCAAAGAGCATGAAACTTGGGGACCACGGATTGAGGGGGTTTTTATTGGTAACCATTTAGTATGCCAGAGTTGCTGAGGGATGGCTCTGCCTTCCCTTACAACTAGGGGTTCCTAATTTGGGGTCTAGGATAAAATGAACTTAGATGGGAAAAAAATTACATCTTATTTCAAAATAGATTCCTTTGTAATCCTATGTATTATACTTTAGACATTTAAAAACATTATTCAGAGAAGGACTCTATAGGTTTCACCAGAGTGTCAAAGAGCAAGGCTAAGAACGCCTACCTTATAGCAACTAGGGGATGGTATTCCTAGAAATCCTCTCCCTGTAGTGTCAATAGCATCATTCTCTTGGCTCCACCACACTTTGAACCTTAAAGTCATGGGATCTTATAGGCCATCTTGGCCTAAGCCCCTCATTTTATCCAGAAGGAAGTTTGGGCCCAGAGAGGGGAGTAACTTACTTGTCTAAGGTCACACAGCAGATTAGCAGCAGAACTGGGACTCCAGCCTAGGTCTCCTGATTCCTAGGCCAATGCCACTTCTGCTAAGTAGGATCATAGGCTTAAAAACGCAAAGGACTTCAGAATTTACCTAATCCTATACCCTAATTTTGCATAGGGGAAACTGAGTGCCAGAGAGGTTTAGGGACTTGGACAAGGTAGTCAGAGACAGGATTTGGTAGGAATGGAGTTCCAAGGGCCTTCCTCCCCGATTCTGTGACAGGACCAGATTCTTTAGCACCACAGCATTGATTTGAAGCCAACAGCCCTGACCAGGGCCCCTTCTAAGGATGAGCAGTAGCCCATCTGTCTCAGGTTCTCCAGACTCTAGTTTGCAATCTGTTGGGAAGCCACAAATGCAGCTGTCCCTCATTTTCATACGAAAGGCACATTCCTGAAAAGTCCTTCATTAATTGAATATTTGGGAATTCCACACTAGCATGTAGCTGGCTTTCAATAAATACACACTGAATTGGATCATGCAATTATAGGATTTAGAGCTGGAACAGATTGTACAAATCATCTAATCCACCAACCCCTCCCCACCCCCCAGTTTTAGGGGCAGGAAGTAGCTGAGCCAGGATTTGAACCCTGGTGTTCTGACTCCAAATCCGATGCTTTCCACTTGAATCGAAGTATAAAATAAACCCTGTTTTCAGTGCATTAGGGGAACTTAAAAGGAATCCTATCCTAAAGCCTTTATTTTTTGAGGAAAAAAAGTGAACTTAATTTTTATCTTTTTGGAATTCTGTATTTTTCAGAAATGGAGTTTGCTTTAAATAGTATGTATATATACTTTATATATACATATACATGTATTTTTTATCATTTAGAAAATTAAAATGGGGTGGGGAGGAAAATCACTTACTGTATTAATTGAGAGGCCCTAAACTGTGCCTGATCAAGAACGGAACTCTAAAGGTTTGCGAGGCAACCTGTCAGTGGGAATTCTGCAATTTAGTGTGTCTTAAGTACCATCCAGAGCCATTTTTGGAGTCAGGTGGTGTCCTGCTGGCTCAGACCCTCTTGGAGTAGTGCATAAGTCACTTACTTATCCTTTGTTCCTTTGCCTTCGCACTCCAGGGACTGACTTGGCTGGTGTGTTTCTAGGGGCCACTCCCTGTTACTCCACTGTTTTGTTTTGTTTTGTTTCCCCCTCCTGACTCTCAGCTTCTACTCCTGGTTCTTCTACTAACCAGCTCTGTGACTTTGGGCAAATCACTCCCCTTTCTGGGC